TGAGGTTGGCAGGGCATGTAGCACGAATGGGGGAGGCGAGGAATGCATATGGGATATTGGTGGGAAAGCCAGAAGGAAAGAGACTCTGCAGTACAAGAGATCTGGTTGTAAAAGAATTTACTGCTAGTAGCGAAAAAAGCATTGAAAGTGTCAGGGGGGGGGGACACTCAAAATAGTTGGTAAAGTGGCATACCTTCTTACCGATTGTGCTCTCGGCCCAGGAGGCCATTTTAAATTTAGTTCCTGTATGAGGGACATAGATGGCAGCAGCATTGCACCGAGGTGTCATGGCGGCCATTTTGCCAACCAATAACGTGGGAGTTTCAGGGGGCTGGTTGAGTGCTTGAGTGGGTAGAGAACGGTAGAGAAGTACAGAAGTAGAGGATATGGTCAACAGGAGGAAGAGTATGTTAGGCGTTACAGTTCTGTTGGAGTTTAGTTTTTGTTTTTAATAGGGTTGTATTTAGACTTGTATAGTAGAAAACCATAGGCATTCGAGTATTAATAAAAATTTGTGGAATAAAATGTTGTGTATGTAAATCAAAACTTTCGAGCATTTATAATGAAAACTTGTGGAGTGTTTGACACTTCTAAAGTTGAATTATGTACTTCTGCAGAATGTAGCAGAAGTGTAAACAAACAGACCACGATGTAAATCTTCATGGCCAAAACGTGAAGTTTAAGATTGTATAAGAAGTGAAGTATAAGATTGAGGAAGTTGCAAGATATATCTTTAAAATTTAAATTGTTTAGTGATGGTGGTTTGTAGATAAGATTCCTCGGTATATTGCTAAACGAACGAAATAGTATCACTGTTAAATTGATTGTACAGAAGTAAAAATGATTTATTTATAAATACAGCTCCATAATGCCGCATGGTTTGCAAGGAAGGTTTACCGTGATGTTATCTTTTATCAGCTTTCTTTATCTTTCCCAGGATTGGTGAAACAAATATTGATATTGATATAGAATATCAAAAGGAAATATGTCGCTTCCAAACATCCTGAAGGCTATTTTCAGGTGAGTAATGGTTTAATATATTTTGTTTTAATTGAAATAAATAAATGAAGCTTGTGTTGAATGAACTTTGACTATTTGCACAGGGAGATGGGAGTAATGGAATGATGGTGAATTGTTATTAATGGTCTGTAACAGTCAGAGCAGATTTCTGGTACTGTATCGGGGCATGTTAAATGGATTATTTCCTGCTCTTTAAAATGTTAGAGACTGATACGAAATAAATTCCCTTCTATCCGCCACAGTAGTCATGTAACCCCACTGTAACCAAAGGACTGCTTATTTTAACTACATCAAGATTTTCTGCGAAGCAGATTCATTCATCAGTAATCTGTCAGACGACAGGTCCACAGTCTCTTCCAAAACAGTTCCTCCACTTAATGCGATCTTCTGTTTTTGGAAAGAGACTATCCAGGAAAAGTGATAATGTGGTAGTTTTTCCATTTGCTTTCCACATCGCAGTACAGCAGCCGTTCAAACCTCTCTGGTCACGCCTGTTGCTATACGAACTTGAACCATCTCGAGCATCATTTGCTCTGTGCTTCAAGTCGCTGCTGATGACGCTGCTTCCGGCATCAGTTGCGAAGCAGAAAGTGTAAATAAATCTTAACAATATGAATGCACAATTCATTAACACTGAAGAGCCAAAAGGACTGGTGTTGTGCTGGTACTCTAGATTCGTATTTGTGAGGTGCTTGGTTGAGATCACAGCCAGGACATCAGTTGTATAGAATGATGTTTTTCATGCTTTTCCTCAGTCCTTCCAGGCAAATTTCAGGATAGTTCCTTGATCAGGTCACAGCCATTTCCTTCCAGGTATATGAATCATCTTTTCACAATGTTATTGGAATGGAACCTCTTGGTGTAAGAATTCCTCAGTTTGTACACTGAAATATTTACTGGTCAGCTAAAGAAATAAATGTTCAGCAGACATTAGAAAGTGTTTGGTTCAAACATCATTACTAGATGCTTCTTCAGGCTCTCTAAAACATGACCAAACATCTACATTTTTCGTTTGTCGAAGGATAGCTGCTGTTCTCATAAGTAAGTACAGTATTGATCCAAGAGCCAAAGCATATATTTACAAACGTTACTTCACTGGATTAGAGAAATAATCGCTGGTAAGGAAATGAACTGGGGCCAAGATATAATCTTTAAAAGAAAGGAAGAGCCAGCCATCTGATAGAAATGTCTGTATTGAGCAAGAACTTACACCAAAAGTTCCAGAAGACACAGTGATTTATATAACCACCAAATAAAGAAAAGGAAAAAGAAGTGTGACAGGAAAACCAGGTATGCATAATTCCAGTACCATTATTCTTTACAGGAATCATACCAGAAAATATCTATAGCAGTATAAAAAATGTAGGGACTACCAGTAAATGTTTGCATTAGGTTTAAAAATAATTGGCAATGAACACCTGTTCCATAATTTGCAGATTTTTTAATCACTATATCCCACTACAGTGAACATATTCAACAAATTCTGCTCATTTCATACAAAATTTTTATGTGCATATAAATTTGTAAATGATGTTGTAAAGCACTGGATATATTTTGCGTCCATCCGTGAAATCCATGTATAGTGAATAATAACAATAATAATGACAACAAAGCAACAGCAAGAACAGTAATAATAAGTGGAGGGCCCATTGAAATTTCACCATGAAGCTAGATGGGTTGTTTTGTATGTATCATGATGTTTCTCCATGAAGTCTGCTGTATATCCAGGAAAGCCTCTGTTGGTTTCTTGAATATGTGACAACCCAATTTTGTATGGTTGTTGGTGCCTCTCACTTCAGTGGGGTCCTAAAAACCCATTGTTGTAGCCTCCAGAATAATGCAGTTTCTCACATTCAGGATTTTTTTATATAATATGCTTGGATTTCTGTGCAGTGAATAGAAATTAAGTTTGCTTTTCTGTGTACCCTGCCTTAGACACTTCTAACACTCTGACTCCTAAAAAAAAAAAGTTTCTTTCATAAAATCCTGTACTTTCTTATGAGGCAAAAATCACACAATGGAAGCATGAGGGATCATACTCATGAACCTTAAAGGAAGTTTAAAACCAGCTGCCAAAGCTAAAAAAAAAATGAAAATGACTGGTCTACAAATAGTTTTTGTGTCATAAATACTTTTGTAGGTGTTGCAGCAGAAATGTGCTGCCACAAGAGGCATGGCAACTGATATTAACCCTTTAGTTGTGTCTGACAAAATATCCTGTGCACCCATTCCATCTTCATGTAATTTGGATGAGGGTGGGGTGGGGCAAATAGAATCTGTGAAGTGTTTCCAATAGAGATAGACTGTGGCATTTCATATGGCTCAACTTTTTTGTATGTACAGCCATATTGATGCCAATAAGGAGAAATATATAGCTACATTAAGAGAAGTGGTTGCCATCCAGTCAGTCTCAGCTTGGCCACATAAGAGGAATGAAATTGTGAAGATGGTAGCATGGACTAAGAGCAGGCTTGAGAAGCTTGGGACAGAGGTTGAACTCTGTGAACTTGGCACACAGGTGTGTTAATCCTAAATGATCCAAGAATATGCATCTTGTAAAATGTTATTGTGATAGAAGCAGTAATAGCTCACTGTGCAAAATAATGAGCTATGGACTTATGGGTAGAGTGACTCTGGTATGTTCTCTTTAACACTATATCCAGTATTGCCCTAGGACTCACACATTCTCTGATTTGATGGATGGTGGACTTCTTTTCCCCTGAGAGTGAAGCCAGCAGCATAAGTAGCGCCCACATTAAGATTGCAGGGAGCTGTCCTTGCTCAGCATCTCCACCATCGCACCATAGTGCTTAATGCAATGGATAAATTTGAGATTTGAGGTTTTCATGGCAGAGAAGATTAATATTTTGGCCTTCCGGATTATGACTGTATAGTTTGTTAGGTGGATACCAATGTTATGGAGAAACATATGTCTCCATCTTCAGGGTAAGTGCAAAGATGGATACAGCCTGTTCTTCCAAAATATTGGTACAGTAAAACTTGTCTTAAACGGAATCTCAAGGGACCAGAAAAAATTTCCGCTGAAGCCAGGTTTCCGTTTAATCAAGGTATACTGTTATAACTAAACGAGGACATAAAACGTATTTGAGACAAAACAAAACAACATGCTCATTAATTTATTCACACTATAATCATTGAACGCATGCACACATTACACTGAACAGAAAAAAAAATTGCAGTACTCACTTTTTACAATTTTACCAGAACTCCGACAGAGTTTTTTGCACACAGTTTGACTTCCCATTCCTCAATGGTCTCACTATTTACATCACTTGATTCACCACAAAGTTCATTAAAAGCTATCCCAATGTCTTTTGCGAAAACTCTCCAACCATCCGTTAGATGCTTTGAATTCAGTCTTCCCCAGTTTTTCAGCGACTTTTTTAGCATATTCCTGTACCATAGGACATGATCTGCTTAACAGACAATTTATCTCGCTCACTCGCATGAATTACTTTTAATCTTGTGTTAAGATCAAGCACAACTCTTGTCTTTGTAGCCATGATGACAACTGCTAGACTAAAGTAAAACTGTAGGCCTAGAGCCCTCACTGAATACAATTTCCAGAAGGGGAAAACAATTCTGCTGAATCTCAGTACAGGTAGTGCAGTACAGTTAGAAGCTTATTTTAAAGAGTTAGAGAAAACAAAATTCTGTAGAATGCATAAGATGCCTAAAATTATTCTAAACGATACATTCCGGAAGACTGGAAATTTTCCGTATAAAGGCTTATTTTGATTTCCGTTGTCTGCGTTAGACAGTTTCCGTTTAATCCAGGTTATTTAACATCTTTTTCAGCCCCAAAGTCAAGGGACCTGAAAATATTTCCATTTAATAAAGGCACTTTCATGTTTACTGCCGTGCGGTGCAGACGTGCGTTCGGTGCTGCGCTCGGAACAGTGACTCAAACTTCAATTCAGTTCTGCCTGTGTAGAAACATACTCTACGATATTACGCCTCAAGCGTTTCACAACATAAAAAAAAAGCCTACTCAACTATCCAGCTGCGCAAGGACTACTAGTCACAATTATAGAACCAACCACTCCAAAGCTGACAACCACCTCACCGGCTTCAACAATGGACCAACCTCCTCTCCAGGGAACCAACTCCTGGACAAAGGTTTCCGCCAAAAGAGGACTCATGCCTCAAGAAGACTCCTCACGTAAGGCAAAGTTTCATAAAGACGACTCACACTGGTTGAACCCCACCCTTACCCAAAACCGCTTCACAGCTCTTTCCTCCGATGAATCTATGGAGCCAAATCCTTCATCTTATACTGAACCTATCCCTAAACCTCCTCCCATTTATGTAAGTGATGTCACTGTCATCCCCCCCCTCCTTCAACTACTTGATCAGACCACCCCAAAACAATATGAAATCAAAGCCCTTGCCCAAAACCAAGTCCGCATTCAACCCACTTCCCCGGATGCATACAGATCAATAGTCAAAGTCCTCGCGGAAAAGAATACCACCTTTCACACCTTTAAACCAAAAGAAGATCGCTCCTATCGTGTAGTCCTTAAAAATCTTCACTACTCTATCAATCCATCAGACATCCAGTCAGAACTAGAGAAGCTAGGCCACACTGCAACTAATATTCACAATATCAAACATCGCCTCACAAAGCATCCTCTTCCTATGTTCTTTATTGACCTAAAGCCTGCCCCCAACAACAAAGACATTTTCAGCATAGAATACCTTCAGCAATGCAGGATCTCATTTGAAGCCCCTAACCCCAAAAGAGACATCCCGCAATGCACAAAATGTCAACGTTACGGTCACACGAAAAACTTTTGCCACCAAAAACCCAGATGCGTAAAATGCGCCGGCCCCCATCTCACTTCCCTCTGCTTACGGAAGGAAAAATCTAATGATGTCCGTTGCGTACTCTGCAATGGCAATCATCCGGCCAATTACAAAGGCTGTCAAATATACAAGGAACTTCAGCAGAAAACCTACCCGTCCCTCCGTCCTAAGTCCTATTCCCCCCCAACTCTCCCTAAGCGCACCACTCCAACACTTCCCAATATCTCCTACGCCCAAGCCACCAAGCAAAATCTCCCCTCCCCTACTCCCGTAGGTAACGACTCACACTCGCTATCGTGTCCCTCACCCTCCCAACCTCTTCCCTCATCCTCCTCC